GGAGACAGCCTTGTCCTTTGAGATTCCCATCACTCACAATCCCTTTCTCTCAGTCTGGCAGCGATGGATGGTCTATTTTCCCAGCCTATGTGGAGAAAAAAAAGGGAAGGAAGCATGGCAAAGCCAGTGCAAAGCTACCTACAACATTCTAGCCAGCATGACCGTGCGTTGCACCCTACTTTCTTATTCTTCTAAAGGCTAGAACAGCGATAATCGGCGTCTGTCTGGAAATTTAGAAGAGGCACAAGTTAAGTTGAAGGAAAAACAGCACATTTGTTTATTTAGAAGTCTAAGCAATCATAATAAACATATGCTCAAATAATCAGCTGCTGTGTAATTACTCATTTGCAAGCACAGTTATTAGGTAGGTAAATTCACTCTTTTTTGAAAATGCAGGTCAAATATTTATCTCTGAGATATATTACATGCAACACAAGATTGCGCTAAGGATGTATACTAGACTGTAATGTTTACAAAATTGAAGAGTTTAGACCTGTCAGACCCTTTTTAAAGCCTTGACCTTGGAAACAAATAAGGACAGTGTTATTTTAACGTGTATTCAAATTTTAACAACACAGTCACACAGCTCTAGTGGAATCCACATTGAGTTTCCACTGTAGATTGCTCATCATTTCATTATGGTTCATTATGCTGATAACTGTCAGAAAGCATTAGAAGCAGGAGCCTTGAGTAATAGCACTGAAATGGTAATTTAAAAACAATATACTTTCTGGAGGAAATACAGCAGTGCACTAAATTCAATTAGAAGAGGCGAATGTAAAGACAAGTAAGTGACGTTTGCTGTTTGAAGTCAGGCTCTTCGATTTCTTGATAACCTAAACTGGAGAAAGCCCTTTTAAAGCCGGCACTTTTCTCTTGCATCTCACTAAATTTGCTCTCATTATCTCTACATTTCTCCAGTATAAACTGCCTTAAATGCAACCATTTTAGAAATATTTCAGGCCACACCAAAATATCAATCAATCTGTCACTGTTTGGGTGGCACAACGGACTAAATTATTCAGGGTCATTTACTGAGACAGATTTCAAGCTGGACAGTCTATGTTTGTAATCTCTCTTTTGTAAAGAGCTCCCAATTAAAAATCATTAATAATCTGAATCGAACAGACAATATAAACAATACAAAAGCATCCCGTACTCACTCATAATGTGAGCATTGTTTGTTAAGAAACAGTTAGAGAACCCGACTCTTAATTAACAGTTGGGACGCAGAACCAACACCCATTAACTTGGGTGGGAACTGCACCTGCCTGCGCCAGGCTGCCATTCACAGAATATCTCCTTATGGAGAAGAAAATTCAAGGATGAGGACCATGATTGAGACTGATTGTTTTCCAGCCTCATGGATTTGTGTGTTGGTAAGACAATTCACTCTCCATTAGATTGCCAACCTTATGAAAAACCCATCCTCTCAGCAACTACTGAAATACAATAAAGGTCTGAATAGTTGCTTTAATACAACTTTTGCGATGCTTCCAAAACGGAAAGGTGTCCATGTTTTCCACAGTTTGTGCTCAAGTGCATTACAGGTCAATCATAGCATTTCCATGCCCAAGCACATAGCTGAAAAGCCCACTGTGCTTCAGAGTTGAAAGTCTAAACTCCTGAGTTAGGTCAAAGCAGCAGATCCGGGGCGGCTTTGCTCCTCAGTGATGACAGATACGTTGATGATTATCCTCATGAGGCAAGCTTGAAGGAAAAGATGCATCAGAAAACATGTGTATGTCAGGGCGTCTATGCCTAGCCTTCCAACACAGCCAACTTCGCCGTCTCCTAGGCTCCCATCCTGCTCTTACTCATACAAGCTTTAAGCCAGACCTAACTAGTCACTTTAGCAGAGCTAAAATAGAGCAGAATACTAAAACCAGAGTTTGAATTATCTGTTTAGACTGGATGCCTGGCTTACCTGAAGGTTAGGCACAGTTTTTACAACTCACCAACAGATGGAGAGTTGTAACCAACTCACAAAAGATGTCAGAGAGTAGTGTTATGGAATGAGAAAACTCTGGAGCACCTCTGCTGATGAGTGCATCACGAAGTAGGTGCTGCTTTTATTACTTACCATGGGAATTGCAAGAAAGAAAAAGGAAGGGGAATTCTCCAATTCCCTTTCATTCACTAGCACAATCAGCCTAATGGAAAGTCATAACGGTCTTCCTCCTCCAGCCCAGAAGGTGAGATAAGTGATGAGGCCAGCCAGTTTATTACTAAAGGAAATCAATAGCCAAGGGTCAAATCTTTACAAAAACACATCCTAAGAAGGCTGAAGTTCTTCATCTTAAAAAGTGTTTAGAAATAATGAAGAAAGAATCAATCCACAGTCCATTCCAGGTGTTCTCTCCAAATTACCCAACGTTACTGTTATTCACCTGGTCTAATAGTTCTCCAAGTGAACAGAAACCTGATTTTACAAGCCAGTGGAGCAGAGTCTATCTTTTTGCTAGAAGAATGGATCTCAGATACTGTGTTTTATTTCTTCATTAGTGCGCCGTCACACTGAGCGATTACTAAATGCAAGGCTGAATGAGAATACCAGGGTTAAAGAGAGCATAATGAACAAAGAAGGTGCCTGATTATTATGGCTGTCAGCACAAGGGAATTGGGTTTGTCACCTGGTTTAACCAACTGGTAAGAACTGATTAGAGCCTGAATCCGCCTGAAAGAACCTTTGATGTTTACGCTCCCTTCTGTCTCCACATCTTGTCAGGAAAGGCAGACAAACGGGGAGCTTCTTCCGGAGGGGCTTCCTTCAGCAGAGGCCCTTGAAATGCTTTCCATCACTTGCCTCAAGCCCATGGGCAGAAGGCTACTGGGTGTGGGGAGCACGGCAACCACAGGAGCCCCTTGCACCCCACTCCTCGTGTGATGCAGGGGTGCACCATGCCCACAGGGCTGCATTTTGTGCCTGTGGAGGTACCACCATTGTAGCAACATCCAAACGCTGTTAAGGCAGACCTCAAAGAGGGGATATGAGCAGTGGGTGGGGGAGCAAAGCTGCCCCACAAACCAGCTCAGAAATAACCTGTGTCTTCCTTCACCTTGGATCTCAGAGAAAGAAGCCCTTAAGCTACCGGAAAACTCAAAGCTATGAAATGGGGCCTCCAGAGACAGTGCCCATGGGACCATGGTGCTGGCTTGCCTCTGCGTGCCGACGCTTCCTAGACTGCTGCGGAGATGAAGACGGAGGCCAGCACCATGGCCCTTGCCTTCTCTTCTTGCCTCTTCCTATTTTCAGGGCAAAAGATCAAGATCAGCGACTTCAACTTTGACTGACCTCAGAAGACAGAACAGGGAAGGGTGCCAGAAGCAGGCCCAAGACTTGACAAAAAAGGACTCAGCTTGCGGGGGTATGTTTTGCAATAGAAGCAAATACGTACCATTAGCTCACAATTCCCCCATCTGGAAGTGTTTTGCTCCCTCCTCATACTTCACTCACTGCACATGCCTATTTAAATTCAACCAGTTGCTTACCAATTTGATTTCAATTTGGTTAGGATATCACTCACTAGGACCAGAGCTTTATGAGAAACTTTTGCTGGTATAATGTTATTTAGGGTGTACCTTTCGAACAATAGTTTTATTGTTGCAAAAAGACATTTTTTCCTATCAAAATGGTCAAGCTTTATATCTCCTAGTGTAAATTACATTATAAAAAGCATGTTCCCACCCACTTCAGCAAGGTTTCACAACAGTTAGATCTCCATCTCCAGTCAACATTTGGCAAGGGCTATATGGACCTCTCTGCTTTCCTACTAAGCAAAAGCAGCTGCTCTTGGCTATGCCCAGGCCTGCTTAACCACCACCCAGCAAAACTCACAGCTGAAAAGAAGGAGATCACTGAAGAAGAGCTGGAATCAAGGGGGTGTGGGGAAGGGATGAGCACTGGTTTAGTTATGGACGTACTTTGTTTCTGCCTTGTAAGGGAGAAATTAAGATTTAAATAAATGTGAGTCATCTCTCCAAAATGAATTTGGAATATATTAAAATGTTACAAAAGAAATATCTCAGCCTTCTCTCACTCACAGGCACACACACACACACTTTCTACATAAATACACAGCTGAACTCCAAAAATCTGGAAACATTTCCAATAGCTTTCAGGGAAAGCCACACATGGATATCCCCTGGTAAAATACTGCCCTTTCACTTATTGTTTCCAATTGCTCTGCTCCTACAGAACTGAAAAATGAAGAACTAGATGATTACGATTTAACACCAGGGCATGCCTGGAATTCCAGGTCTCCAGTTGCATGAGCTGTTAACCAACACTTAGGACAAGGAGTTGTTCTGGCAACCCCATGGGTGTCCTCAGGGCATTACGCCTCTTGTTCTCCCTACTGAAGGCATTTTGGTGGAACTAGAGCAAACTCCATTTGCTGTACATGATGTATTTATCTACAAAGGATAAAATAAACCAGGTTTGAGACTCATTATTACCATCCCTTTCAGAGGAACACTTTTATGTTTTTAAGGATCAACAGCTATAATTTGAGCAAATTAGATATATACTGAGATTATAAATATTACCTATTTACCCTAGATCATACAATCATGAGAAAAGCTTTCACAATTTCTACAACTATCAATATTCAAAGAGATGAAAGGTGATGTGATCTACTGGACAGGTCCTCATACTGGAACTTATGTTTCACTCCCAAACTCTGTGAGTCGCTCCTCTTTTGCGGCTTCGTCTCCTCCCAATCTCCTGATGTATTTAGACTGTAAGCTTTCAAGGGTCAGTGCAACCATGTCACTGTTAGGAATTCAGGGCTGAGAACTAACACTTTCTCAACCAGAAGTGTGATCCAAAATGCAAACTGCATCTGCAAAGGCTGTAAGAGCTACTGAATGCTGCTCTCAGGAGCAGGACACTTCTTAGAGACATAGATCTCCAGGCACTTCCTACGTACACAGTGGAAGAAAGACAGGAGAAGAAATGGATGATAAAAGGCGAAGAGACTGTTCAAAGACCAACTTACGAGTGCAGGGCATGGAGGCAGCATCATTTTCAGCTCGGAAAAAGCCCCGATCACAGGTGCAGGAGGTAGAGCCTTCCCAGATGGAGTAGCTGTGAGGCGGGCATTTGGCACAAGCAACATCTGTCGAGAGAGCCTTGTAGTATCCGATTTTGCAAGCTAGATGGAGGAACAGGAAGGGAGAGTGTTACTTGCCCAGGCTGTGATCATAAATTGCTGGCTTACTTATTCAAAATCAAGGCAGGAGACATTTCAAAGAGATCTAATGACGTCCTCTTAGCCCCAGGTGAAGAATTAACCATCATCACACTCTTAATGAGTAATCCTATGTCAAGGGATACTGATTTCTAATTCCAACAAGAGACATTTTAAAAGCTGGCTTGGAGATGGTAAAAAAAATTATACTCTTCTATTGACACTGCCAGAAAATCACTGCCTCTTTGTGCTTACTGGGGAGTTGCATGTTGCTTAACCCGTGTCCACCTGCATTCACACACACACACAGAGCCTGACAAAAGGGGTGCAATTGGTTTATTCTATGACCACTTAAGGAATGGCAGCTGACAGTCAGACACTGCCAATTTTTAAGAGGGAGTGGGGCAGGAACCCACTGGGATTGGCAGCGAGGCCCTCAGCCTAACATGCCCGGAAATGGCACGTCTCCCTCCTGGCAAGGCAGAACCCATTTGGCTCCTTCTCCCCAAGGGAGGAAATCAGTGATGATCTCCCCTCTTCGAAGCCAGGGCTTAGCAGTAACTGCTCCGCTGCCACCAGGTCCCACGTGCAGTTGGCGAGCTTTCGGTGACATCATCTGCATAAATGCAATGCTTACACGAATGGCTACTTTCACATCACTGGGAAAAAACTCATTAGCATCATTAATAACACATTTCAATAGTGGTTAACAGGTATGTCATCCTAGAAATTTCTCCCTTGGCTGGAGATAAAAGCCCACCATCACCACTGGCTTTCAGTGCTACAGAGAACAGAGGAAATACCCAGGCATGCAAATACGTAAAAAAGAAAGGTTATTCCCAGTATTTACTGCGTGACTCACTCTCACATCTCATCATTTATCACCTACGCTACCTTTAGGGTTCCCCTGCTATATGCAGGCTCCAGGACGTGGGGCACAGCCTTCTGCCCCAACGGGGCTCACTCTTTCTGTTTTACCCTTTTACCTTCCCTCTTTCTGTTATGAAGCCCTCCAATGGAAAATGGAGAGGCATTTGAATAACACATTTATAAAACAGCATGTTTATTCACTCTTATTAACCAGAACCATTTATGGAATTTCCTTAACAAGTCCTAACTTTATGAGGTGCCATGCACCAGCTTTTAGAGCGCTGGGACATCAGCCTGCTTTCGTTCGCTGTGCTGTCGCTGGACCAGAGCATCTTACAAAAGCACATTTCTCAAGCGACTAAGATTTATGCTTCCAGAGTTTACATGCATTGCACTATTAGATAAGGTTCAACTTGCAAGGTGCTTTTTGGCCATGCTTCAAACAGCCTTGGGGTTTTGATTAAAATCAGAAACCATAGCTCCGGCAGGAAGAATCATGGGGGTCAAACCCAGCCTCCCCACATCAGAGACAATTAGTCCCTGAACACAAATACAGACCCACTGGGTATGGCCTATCAGCCAGGCAGTCGCGGTACACAAAGGCAACTCGTGGAAAATAGCTTATTCTGCCTGTGATGTGAATTGCCCAGGAAAAAACAAAAATAAACCAAAAAAAATCCCTACACACACACACACAAGAAACCCCCAACCACCATGTAAAATTACCTTTCATTTTTTGATATGATCAGCAATATCTGGCGAGTGAGTTGTACTATCGCTACATGTCCTCTTGTGCCTGGTTGAACAATAGCAGCAGTCAAGTGGCAGATGCTGATCTGCGATATTATTCCTGGTTTTCTCTGTCACAGCTCAGCTCAGAAATACGCCTAAGCCTGTATATGACCAGGACAGACACTGTCAGGAGGAAACCTGCTGCCATATGTAAAGATAAGGCATGGCAAAACAGAATACAAGAGGAGACCAGGCTGACCGCTCTTATCCACAAAATTCTTTCTATTATTCAAGGTTTTTAAAATAAAACACGTAAGCTCTAACATTACAGTTACTATGAATACCATAGTTCACAGAAACTATTAAATGAAGAGCTGTCTTTTGCATTTTCCTAGTATTAAAATATTTAGAAGACTAACAATCTAGTACAAGGCTGAGAATCCTGCTCAGGCTACAACACACTGTTGGAAAGGTAGGAAAATGCCATACGTAAAGATTTTTGCAACCATTCCTCCCTCCTCACTGTCCTTTCAGACTCAGTGGATTAAAAAGGAATAGGTGGATTAAAAGGGAATAGATGGATACAGTCGGTACTGCAAGGTCAACAGTCTGTAATTCAAAGAGATTTTTTTTCCCATTCCATGCACTGTATTTTGTTTTCTACTATATTAAGCCAAGATCATTAATATTTCAAGACCTGAAGAACACTCTCCAAACACAGTGGCTGCTCCTAAAGCACACACAGCCATTTTGCTTCAAAAATCCCCTACTCCTGAACAGTTAGTTTTCTTCATTTTAGCACGCTCAGAGTTCGACCACATTTCAGCATGTGGGATAAAGGGACATTAGAGAATGTGTTGCACTAAACCAGCAGCTCTTTGCCCCTAAGAGCTCCACGGCACCATCACTTAAAAACTCAAGTCTAATCCTGTAAAAGCTGTTCCTAGCATGAAGCAGTGCTGACACACCTATTACAACTAGCGCCTGTTAAGGCTACGGATGGGCTTTTTTTGAAGGTTAATGATTTCGCAGGCAAACAAGAAGCCTGCACAGAACCTGCTCCCTGAAAGTCTCTATTGCTTGCTCATGACAAATCTTCACGCAGCTGCTTTTCTAGGAAGGATTTGCCGGGTGAGACCCAGCATGAATGGCGTTCTTGCACAGCTTTCGAAAGATACCATTGTAAAAAGATTAGTTCACATGTGCAATGCAAACTTTGAATTCAATTCCTTAGCTTTGCCTTAATTAGTTCTTTCTGTTAGTTTTTTTTTTGTAAAAAAAAAAGGAAAAATCTTTTCTCACATTGAGATCACCCACAAGCACAACAAGGTTACAATCATTGCACTAGATCCAAGGAAAATTCTCAAACAAAAATATTTTCAGTTTTTCCTCAGAATGAATCACATTGATTTTAAATGGATATCAGCTTGAAATAATTATACTGATACCCTTGAGTTCTAATATTAAAATCTATTTGATTTCTATTTCTCTTAAAGTGAGACAAGATTTGCCAAATATTGCCGGTCATCATTATATGCCTTTTTTTTTATTTTTTTTTAAATTTACCAGAGTAATATATGTTAAAACTGCAAAAAACGCTCTAAAGAATTACTGAACTTCAGTCAAATCTGGATGTAAATTTTCTCAAGCTGTTTTTCAAACTCCGTTTTTTCATTAAAACCTGATTTTCAGATTCACGGCTTTCTCAACAAAAAAAAAAAAAAAAAAGAATGCACATGTGGGCTGGAAAGTCCGCTTGCTTGGTCTCTCTCTTGGTCTCTTCTATTAGAAAATTTTAGCTAGCAATTTCAGAATTTAAGAATTCATCTCAGAGTGGATGGAGTTCTAGTCATATTCTTTTTAGTCACAGCTACAACAAAATATATGTATGAATCATTTTCAACTGTTTTCAAATAAGTTACTTTTTTTTCTGATTGGGGATGGAATCTTTAAAAAAAATCACTCTTGCAAATTTAAGTTTGTTTAAAAAAATGCCTGGGTGCTTGCTCCTAAATTGTTCTTTTGTCCTTTTTGAAATGGCAATGAATCCATCATATTTTGGAAAAAGCTTGACATGCTTAATAGTTCTTAAAAAAGAAAAAAATCATTCCAGTCTCTGTTAATAAGTTCCTAAATCATTAAAAATGTAGTGCATATCTCAAGAAAATCTCAGCAAGCTCCAAGTAGAAACATTGGTGGTGGCATGGAGGCAGCACTCTGCTCTTCACCCCAGGAAGGCTAAGCGGGACTCTGAACTGGGGAGGGAAGAGACCCTGGAACCAGGAGGATCTGGTTGAGTTCTGCACAGATGACGGGATGGGGAAGGTCCAAGTGAGCCAGCCCTGAGCTGACAGCACTGGGCAGGAGCTCCTGCAGCAGCCCTGGCAACCAGGGACCAATGCTGGAAGAAACAGTTTCTATCCGCTGCCTCAGCCTCTGCTGAAGATGAGACTTCACAACCGAGAAAAATACCCATTTCCAGATTAGGAGCTAATAAAGAGAATGGGTGAATAAACAAGCACAGAAACATGGTTTTGCTCAAGCAAATCTAGTTAAGTCAATGAACTCAGATCGGAAGAATTCTGAAGTGCTTATTTGCAGTAGCAGCCAAAAAAACCAGTGGGATGCCAGCCCTATACAGAGAGAGTACAGCATGGGAATGCTGGACCACAGAACCATCACCCTATAGATCACTACGCTAAAGGCTGCGATCTCCAAAGGAGTTCTGCAAGGAAATGGCCCTCAACCAGGACGGGATCAGCAACCGAACACAAACCACACTCCCACTGCACCTCTCCTTCCCAAAATGGGCCAGCGCACCACTAAGAGCATTTACTATCACAGTCAGGTGAATAATATAGCTAAAAATCTGTGGAGCTAGCTGAAATATCAGAAACTACGCACTTAATAGTTTCTATTTTTCGAAGTAGAAAAACATATCAGCTACATAGTCATGAAAATTTCAAAATTCATTGAGAAGCTGTTTTGAATCAAATCTCTCACCACGTGTAACAGAAGAGGGGAAACTTTTGTTAAGTCAAGGATTGTAGCCAACTTTAATGCAAAACCCTGAAATAGTATTCTTGGTGAAATGAAGGACAAAGCCAATAATTTAGGAAAAGATATTTCAAAGTCAGGCTTATAAATTGCAGTGAGAAAAGAAATTTGTGTTTAAAGACTTGAAAAAATACTTTGATAGCATATTTCATGTCTTTCATCACTGGTTACTTTTTCTACAGCTCTTCCCTGTCTGGAAATATTTTAAGCTCATGTTTTAACTGCACCCTTAGGAACAAAAAGTTACTTCTATTTTTCCCCTCTAATGTTGTTCTTATTCCTTAAGAGGATGGATTTTCTCTCTC